TAGTATAGAGTAGTATAAGCCTCCCTTATACTTCCTCATACTCCCTAGTCACATGATCTTCTGTAAGGAAGAAATCCTTGGATCGCCTAGCTACCCTAAGCGATCCCCATTTGCTATAAGAAATCTGAATGTGCCTGTCGAGGGTTGCGCCTCTTATTATGACAAGTATCACGTGAACACGTGATTCGTGACACCTAGGCTCTACTTATTAAGGTATAAATAGCCTTATAAGTACCCTAGGGGCTATTTAACCTAAATAATATATCCTCTACCTCTTATATAAACCTAAGTATTAGTAAAGGATATGTTTTACGTATTAAGGGTAACTAAGTAAGCTTATATATATTATTTAATCTATTTGATTACTTATTTATAATAATGATAAATCTACTAATTATTATAAGCTTATAAAAAGTAGTTTCTTATTATCCCTTTACTATCCCTAAGCTAGCTACTAGTTTTAGATAGTAAGATAGGCCTTAAGTAAGCGCTTAGTAGCCTAGGCTCTACTAATTAAGGTGTAAATAGCCTTTTAAGTACCCTAGGAGCTATTTAACCTAAATAATATATCCTTTACCTCTGTGAGGGTTGGAACCCATGATGGAGGCTCGGGCCATGCCCTCGCTAAGCACTGACCAAAGTCCCTGCTCAGCACTGGCCATAACCCCACTGCCAAGCAAGTCTCTTCTATTCTATACTTTTCTGTTCTATTCTCTTGACATCTGTGACGGTTATGGTCACGAGGGCTGGATGTCACATGCTCGCTTAGCGAGGCGCTAGCGCGCACGACCTGTATTTAGTTCCCAGCTCTCTCGAGCTCTCCTTCTTTCCTCGTCTTTTGTCCTAAGAATAGAGTGTTAATTGTTCTGAGTTCTACTTGAAGCACGTCTGTCACAACATCATGTATTTGTTAAGCAGTTTCTTGGAATATTCTAGAAGCTCTTCCTCTCTCTATATATAGAGAAAGAGCTTGTATATAGTTCCCAGCTCTCTCGAGCTCTCCTTCTTTCCTCGTCTTTTGTCCTAAGAATAGAGTGTTAATTGTTCTGAGTTCTACTTGAAGCACGTCTGTCACAACATCATGTATTTGTTAAGCAGTTTCTTGGAATATTCTAGAAGCTCTTCCTCTCTCTATATATAGAGAAAGAGCTTGTATGTATGTAGTCTTCACGCACTTCTTAATTGAATAGTCGAAACCACACCTTTGAGCTATTCGAGGTCTGGCCTCTCACAACCTCCTATATAAACCTAAGTATTAGCAAAGTATCGTAAATATATTAACGATACGATATCGTCTTTTTGACGATATCCGATATAATATTGATTATTGGCGCACGGACGTGGAAAAACTATAAATCCGGCCCCGGACTAATAAGAGTGCTTGAATCGAAGACCCACTAATAATACTAGTACTAAATACTCTAAACTTAACTACTATTCGGGTCTGTCCCGTATTTTGAACAAGACTATAATCTATACTAATATTCTAGGTTAATACCCTAAGGTTTTATTATCGACAGAAGGTTACAGTTTAATCATGTGACTTAAGTAAGGATAATTTTCTTAGGTAGAAACCTCTCAAAACCCTCTAAAATAACCCTAAAACGACCCCTAAAAATACTTATTCTAGGTACAAAATATTGATTATCGTCACTTTTCAGACGATAAATATCGGTATCGTGGAAACATTTATCGGCGATATATCGCGATAATCCGATGTATATTGCCATCGTGCCCAGGTCTGCTTTGAATCATTCAGGATGACAGTGAAGACAACGGGCGTGAAGTCGGTCCCATTCTGTAACCTGTCTTCTTTCAGCTCTCCGAGCTCGTTCTTGCTCACGCTGCGGCAACCGTTTAATTCTATCTTCTTCTATTGAGCGCCGTCCAAGTTCTGCATGCCAGTCATCATTATGCGTTTCCATTTCGTCGAGGGGAATGGGGTTTCCTGCGTTGTTTTTTCTTCGCTTCCAGAATGAGAAAATCGAGCGACGGACATTGATCAGTATGTTGAGCTCAGAGACGGGCACTTCATCGGGCCTCTTCCGCTTCTTGGGGTGTTCGCTGACTAGATCGGGACATAGATTGAACGCATTAAGTCTATCGAGAAGATCACGTCCAAATATCAAATCGGACGGTAGGCCGGGGAACACATGAAAAGCCTCGTAATTATCTTCCTCTGAGACGCCTGATGGGGCGTCATTTGAGGGAGAATCCTTTGGACTGGAAGGAGATGTATCGTGCGCTTCAGTCTCTGGCTGACTCCAGTCGAATCCCAAATTGTACACGTAGACTTGGCCGACGGTTTCTGCTTCCGATCCGTCCCCGAATCTGATTCGTCTTCGAGCACTGTCCCTCTGATCGATGTCGAATCCTTCTCTTTTCGCGCATTCCAAACTCATCATGTTGAGGTCGCTGCCAGTATCAGCAACACCAATCAGATCACGACCAGCGAACGAACACTTCATCCTGTTGCGGGGCGGTCCGACCCAGAGAAGATGGGATATATTTTTCAACTCCACTGGACAACTTTCAAGTACGTGCCAATTCTTTGACATTATTTCGGCTTCCTCTAGAAATGGCAACCCCATAATCAAAGGGACAGGGCAATCAGGCAGCACTAAGAAAGCTTGCTTCGTCCTAGAAAGTGGAAGGCCTGGTACTATTACTGATGTATACACCTTGCCAGTTGACCAGACGTACTTTCCGTTACCGAGTTGTAACATCTTCACCCTCGGCCGGATGTGGAAGCCTTCATGGTTGGCAAATTCCTCACTCATGATGTTCTCCGAAGCCCCAGAGTCTGGACACGAAAGATGTTCTTTTCCTTTGATCAACACACGGAGAACCTTTCTCTTGTTCTCTCTCGATCTGCTTTTAGAAGAGGCTGGAGAAGGATCGTCAACACGCCAAGTTCGTTGAGAGTCTTTCGGGTTACCAAACGGGTTGAGTCGCCCCACGGCTTCAGATAGCTTCATTGTATCGTAGTATTGACTTTGAACACCTCCAGCTTCGGTCTTTGACATATTCAATTTTTGCGAATCTGACTCTCGCTGCAAGATCGCAGTGCCTAGTTCGCGGATTCGTAGTGCTTGTTCCTCTGTTAAGCTTCCTTCTTGATAAAGTTGTTTTTTCAAGACAACTACATTTGGTTTTGTTGGACCCATGGAATTGAAGGATTGCTCATTGTTCGGAGAGGATGCCATTCGTAATTGCACATCTGGTCAATTGTATTAGCCCTTGAGTTACTTGCGGTTATGAGGAGTCGAAGATACCTTCAACGTCCGGAACCGAGGCTGACTGATGGAAGTTTTGAATTTCATGATAGACATCTTCCGTAACTGGACGATTCGTGGTGAATTGAGTTGGTTGATCGAAAAAAGGCGATGTCACCGCTACAGAGGATATGTTATTCCAATAGCTCGGCATAGTATCATTATTGACGATGCTCGAAGATGTCGACCAGTCCTGTCCTGTGTTGGATGTAAGTTCTTTTGCTAAAGTATCGATGCTAGAATCCAATTCATGAAGTAGAACCCTCTTGTTAATAATATTTGAGTCTTTGCCTGAATCTGCATCCTCCGGGTAAGTTTGCTCGAGAGAGATGAATTTCCATAGATCTTGTTCGCTCTCATCTCTCTTTTCCTCTGGTGCTGATAGAGAGTACCATGGGTCTTTTTGGATCTCATTATAACACAAGTGAATTTCCTCAGGTGAAACTGTTTTTGGTGCCGTATCTGCTGGAGAGGTTCGTTCTAGTTGTCTTTGAAGTGCCCATGCATCGTTCTCTGCCTTCTGCTGCTCTCTCGTGCGACTTGCAGAGGAGATCCAGCTGCGCGGAGAAAGTGGTGAGCCTACTCTGAATGGTGAAGAGTGGTCTGGTTTTGGCCCTTCTAGATACCTTCCGTTTGCTTCTTGGAGTCGCTGAGAGAGAATGTCTTGCGATTGGAAATAAGACGGAACGGCAGGAGTAAATTCAAAACTCGGGCCGTGTAATGCAAGTTTTGTCATTGTGCGATCAAGCTTTGGCACAGGTTCATAAACTGCTTAGCCAAAATATTAGTACTTTCTCAAGCGGAAGCGTTTCTGCTATATCTACCGTGCTTCTTAGTCTTGTCTTCTCCTTGGTTCTGATCGATGGCGGGTAGCAGGTTGTTGTAGTCTCTGTGCTTGATTGACTGGAGCGAGTCATTTATTGAGGGTAGAGTAACTGGCTGATAGTTGTTTTGTTTTCCTCCAATAGAGTTTGGTCCGAATGGCGGTGGATCAGGGTATAGTGGATATGACAAATCCTCGGGAGCCGGGTACGTGTGGTATGCAAAAAGAGGTGGTGTTCTTGAACCTTCCCGCTCGTAACCATGACCAAACATTAACTCTTCGTCGTGGTGCATTGGTGGTGCTGGAGACGGTGGTGGAGACGGTGGTGGAACCACGGGTCCCCTTCCCATCATACCAACGAGTCCCGCATCTGATCTGCTGACATCAAGCTGGTATGTTGCTCTCCTGGGTTTGTAACTCCAGTCTTTAAGCTTCAATTGCGGTACTTGTTGCAATTGCTGGGATTGGAAGTGGCGGGTGCGGGACTTCGATACCATCATGATGTCAAAGATTCATCGGACAACAATAGGAGTTTGAAGACAAGTAAATGTAAGGCTAGAAGCTGAGATATACAGAGTGCGGGAAAAGAGGGGAAAGGGGGAAATACTTAAGAAGGCGAAAATTTCAGCAGGTGGCGCAGTCTGCGCCTCGTTATGCTTTTTGCTGCCAACACTGCGCCATAATAACTTGGTCACCAGGCAGTACATGTAGCTGAGGCCTGCATACTCCATAGTCCCCATATTGAATTCTGCTCCTTCATCCCGCACAAGATACAAAGGAAGCAGCGCAGTTCTACAAGCCAAAGATAAATGCAAAAATACAAATGAATAGAACCCTCCAGCTGGGTAACAGGACTACGAAGCCAATCAACGGCTTCCCCAGAGTCGCCCAGAAACTTGCCAGCGACCCAGACAGAACTACGACCATCTTTCGCCGCTTCGATCAACTATCATCACGAAACCTCTTATTCCTGGAAGCCGAACTCGCTGAGCTCGAAGCTCTCCAAAAAAGGGCAGACGAAGATGACCTAAGGTCCACGGATCGCACAACGATAGAATGTCATAGCGACTGGAGAAAATTCGAACAGTACGCCACAGAAAAGGATTTAAATGAGGACGCTGTACACCCAAAGCAGGCGGAAAGACTAAATCTAGCCTTGAAAATAAAGGAGAGGTTGAGTGAGTATCGTGAGTATCTGAAACGCTATGTTGCGATTGATCTTAAATTGACGAAACATGGCAGATGAAGCGCTTGCTGTCCACCAAGTCCTTCTCAACGCGAAAGCTCCAGCACCTACAACTGTAAATGCGATGCGAAACTGGTTCTTGGGAGGAGAGAGCGGGAAGATACAGCCGAGACCACAACTTTGGGGGAGTAGTGCAACTATGTTTGATGATCCGAACGATCTCGTTGCTCTAAGGGTACCAGCGGATCAAGACCGACTATCTGGTTTTATACTGAATCATTTCGGTCGGTTCTTTGCTGTGAGTCTCTTCGCTCCATTGCTGAAGACTATGATGTATAGAACAGGGATTTCTGACAAATCGCACCAAATAGACGGACAGCAACAGCGATGAAAACTCCGCACACATCTCGGAGCGTAGGCTCGCGACAGTGGTGGCGATTACCAGCTCGATACTATCAGCGATCCTCCTCTTCGGCTCGATCACCTCGCTTTACTTTGTCCACAATCCATACGCGATATTAGGAATGTTGGGAGGTTGGACTGTGTTGTTTGCAATCAGCGTCGGATGGTTGACAAATGCGAAAAGGGATTCGGTCTTCGCGGCCACTGCTGCATACTCTGCTGTTCTGGTTGTGTTTGTGAGTGGGAATCTAGGAGGAGTTTCGCCACCGAGTTCTGTTGTACTTGGGAATTGAAATTGTACTCAAGTGTGAAACTTAAATGAGACCCACATATTTAAGTAAAGCTACTTGTCACGTAATAACGCTCGATAAAAGTGCATCTCATTAGGGGTAGGTAACAGGCGAGTATTCCAAATGTGAGGTAAGTGAAGTGGCTCTACCCAGAAGCTACCTAGGCTCACTATAGCATATTATCGCGAGTTACTGCAATCAAAAGGACAGAGGTTTGAGAATAACTTTGATAATACCCATATTCTTTTTTTCCATTCTGAGGACGGTGATGATTTTAGCTCCTCTGTGGTCCTTGTCCCTTAACTAGATATCTCCATATTTGGCGAGCCCCTGATTCAAGCGCGTCTCCTTCTATATAGAGAGTTAGAGGAATATCGCGGTCGGACTTCTAGATTTAATGTGGTACTATATATGATTGAGACATGAAGTTTACATAAGTTTCTTTTGACTTTTGTGAAGTTATATATGATAACAAATAGGAAATTTTGATGGGGTTATCTAAGACCTACTTTAGGCGCCTTGAGAACATCTCTCGCGGGACAAGGACCACTGAGGAGATAGCTAGATTTTACTCTATTCGGGAAATGCTGTACGAATATCTTGCGAGAACATTTTTTGTATCCGTTTCAAGTTCAACTTTACCTAACTAAAGAACTCGGCTATCTAAGGGGAAACCCAAAGCTTTTGTAGGAGTGTTTGTTGTGGAACCGACCATGAAAACCAAGTATTGGAATGACATTATATATTTGACACACCCATCTTACCTCTGAACTCTCCGACCAGAGGTTCATCGCTTCTCTTCTACATAAGATATATTAAGTAGCGCCCGTCTCTCATCTCCACAACATCCACATTCACCACATTATATTGCATTAAACCATAATACATCCCCATATGCAGCTACAGGCCATTTGTCTTATTATTATGTTTGTAACTACCACAATGGTATCCCTCAATTTGATGATAAAGCTATTACTACAGTTCAAATGATCAAAAGACTATTCCTGCAGCTGCCTTAGCACATCATGTATACGTTTCACATTCAGAAAACCTCCAACTTTCAGTAAGATATCCCCATCACACTCATGTCAGTTCCCATCTTCCCCCAACAAACCACAAAATCTAAACATCCACCCCCTCAACACTAAACTCCTCATCCCCCTCATTCCTAAACCACCCACCCATCACATCCCTAACATCCCTTTTAACCCTCCTCCTCCCTTCCAACAACGTCCCACCCTTAACATCTCCATACCTCCTCTCTCTCAAAACCCCTTCAACCAAAGGAACCCCAGCCCTCACAGCAACCTCCAAAGCAACCCTCCACATCCTCCTCTTGCACACTCTACTCCCACCCCTCACATCACCTTGTTTCCGCCCCTGCAACGTCCCCCGAATCACAGTCTCACTCCCATACCGCGTCCACGACGAAGCGAGGTTACTAGCCACCTTCTCACCTCCCTCCCCACTTCGCCGCGAGTACTCGAATTCCCGTTCGGTGCTTAGGACGCGGAAGGGGGTAAATGCATACCCACCTCCCCAATCCTTTCCCTGGAGCGGTTTCAGTCGTCCGGAGGCGGAAAAGGCACGTGTCACTGCGATCTGGGAGAGTTGTGAGGAAGGCAGGATGAGGGAGGTGAGGTACATGTTTTGCGGGGAGATAAGCAGGGAGGTTAGGGATGAGAGGAGGGAGGTGCTTTGTGTGGAGGCGAGTTTGTCGGTGCAGGATTTGGAGAGGGTGGGGGGTGCGTCGGGGCGGGAGGGCTTTCGGCGGGTGAATCCGAGGTGGGAGAAGTAGAGAGANGGTGGGGGGTGCGTCGGGGCGGGAGGGCTTTCGGCGGGTGAATCCGAGGTGGGAGAAGTAGCCTCGACCGTGAAGGATTGGGGGGTCTGCTGGTGTGTTGGGTTTTGATGTTGATGTTGATGCTGATGTAGACGTAGATGTGTTTGAAGGTGTGGGGAGGTCCCATGGCGTGGAATCTTCTTGCTGAGACATTATGAGTTCCATGCTTGCGTCTCCGCCTGGTAATGTTTGTTAGTATATTTCTTAATGAGCATAATGCTTTTTGTTTTGATGGGTTGGGACTTACAAGGTGCTTCAGAGCAATACATATGAATATCCAGCCCATCAACCAAAGCAAGAGGTTGAAAATGCATCTCAGTCCTCTCATGTTCCTCTCTCAAGCGAAGATACTGACTTGACTTCTTTTCCGAATTGAGCAGTGCAAGACATTCATCCAACAAAAAACGATTAAATGATCGAATGGCAAGAATTTCAGCATGCCAATCGTGAAGGATAACACCTTGTGCTTTAGCAATGTGTTTTTGAGGGAGACATTTCATTCCTGTACTTTGGCAAATCAACATCGGATCGAATCGGTTGGAAGATTAAACATACGCTGCAGCAAGACAGGTTAATTTGTTGCTGTTCTTCTCTGAATTTGTCAGTAAATATACTTTCAATTGTAGGGGATCGGTACCTTGAACAACAATCCCACTAAAAGGAACCCATTCCTTCACTCCATTCGTTCTCGTCAAAGGTTTTCTCTTCTTCTCCCAACTGGCGAACTGCTCCAAAGCCACATCCGCAATTCCATCGCCCGAGATCTCCATTACATAATCCTTGTCCTATCGTTTACCAGTGACAGGTCAAAAAAAGGGGGGAGAAGATTTCTCGGTTGGCCCACCCGCACCCACGGCAATGCGGGGTGCCGAAGCCGAAGTTTTAATTGACAGGGGTATTCTCGGCTTCCAGACGTCATCCTCAGCCTCGTCCCAGCATCCCCCCGTTCGCGCGGCTACGACAAGACAACGAGAAAGGGAAGGAAAGAACAATGAGACAATAAGCATTCCAGAGAAATTTACGTTGTATATGCGCCCAAAAGGCTATCATGACGGCTTTGAATCCTCTCAGTATGTAAAACCACCCTCGTTCTTACCTATCACGAATCACAATCACAATCACAAGCACGAGTTCACTTCATCACTCCCACGATGTATCACCATGACCATAACCGTTCTACGTCTTCGCAACTAACGATGATATCTACTCTTCTAGTTTCCAAAGCGCGAAAGGTGTGCATCAAATTTCTGCTTTTACCACAGGAACAGAACGGTACTAACGAACCTCAAATCATAGCCCAAATTCGACCTTACTCTAAAAGTACTGTCCCCCTCCCCTTAATCATAATATCAAACTAATACCAACCCAGATAATAGACCTCAACAACGTCCCCCTCGTAACCGGAACCTCCTTCATAAAATGGCACCTCCCCTCCTCCACCTCCACCGAACACCGCGGCCGCACATCCAAAGCCCCCATCGTGGACCACAAAGTCAGCTACGCCTACACAAAGGTAATCCCCCTCCGTCTAACAATCGATAAATCCAACAACCTCCTCGAATGCCCCATCCACTTCGAAGTACTACAAGACTTCGACACGAGCAGCCTGAAACCCGAGCGCGTGGTCTTGGGCGAACTCACGCTGAATCTGAGCGAGTATGTGGAGGAGAGCGAGATGACTGCCACGGGGGGAGAGGAGGATGGGGTAACGAGAAGATATCTGATGATGGAGAGTAAGATTAATAGTACGCTGAAGGTGGGCATTTGTATGAAGCAGGTTGACGGGGAACGGAATTTTGTGGCGCCTCCGTTGAAGAGTGCGCCTGTTTTTGGAGGGATAGCGGGGATTATGGCGGGGGATGGGGGGGATAAGGATAAACGTATGTTTATATTTCTTTCTTCTTTGCCTTTTCCTTTCCTCCTCCTCCTCTCTCTTCTCTTCTTCTTCCCTATCATATACAAGCGAGACTAAGAAAACCAGAAGCACCCGTCCTCTCCACCAAACCCCGCGACCAAGGCGAGCTCCAAGACATGTACCGCCTCGCCCTCGCCGCCTCCTGGGCCGCGCAAGCCAACGAGCTCTCCGCCGACGAATGCATAGAAGACATCTTTAACGGCGGAACCGGGTGGAAAGAAGGCCCACCATCCCTCCACCCCTCACCCCCACACTCAACCCTCTCCCTGCAAACACCAACCCTACATACCCTCTCACACACCCACTCGCACGATCTGCACCACTGGGACCACGACGACAATAGTCTGCATGGACGGAGAGACCGCGCGTATTCCACGACGAGTTTGAAGAGCCAGAATACTATTACGAAGAAGGCTTCGTTGCAGAGGATGAGGGAGAGGGGGCATAAACACTCCGGGTCCCAGGAGACGGTGGGATTTGGGAGGGGAGGTGATGGGGAGGGATATGTGAGGGAGAGGGAGGGGGAGGGAAATGGGATGGTGATTAAGAGGAAGGTGAGGGAGGTGGATGAATTTGCTGTTAGGGAGGATTTGGTTGCTTGGAGGGTTCCTGGGGCTGTGGTTTAGGGGTGGGATGAGATGGGATGGGATGGGGAAGGAGAGGTAGATTTGTAGAGGGAATTTTACGAGATGGGAGATTGTGGAGTGTAGATTATTATAATAATTAGTCATATGTATTGAATCTGTGTAAAAGGAAAGAGAGAGAGAAAGAATCAGATATACCAAATTCGTATAACATGCCTCCCTGTTTCCAAACTCCAAATTCCAAATTCCAAATTTCACATTAAATATATTAATATCTATCACTTAAAGTAACTTAACCAAGTTCAATATCTCTATGCCCCCATGCCATCCCTTTCCACCCCCTCCACCCCTTCCCTCCCCTTCTCCCCCCTAACCATTACCATTACACACTATATAACCTACGCTACACCATACAAATTCACACTATACAACCCACAACAACTTATAACAATCCAACCCAACCCCCAAAGCCAAAAACAAAGCCAAAATCATAAGTACATCACTATATCAGCTAGCCAGCTAACCAACCAACTACTTATCTAATTATCTAACTATGAAATTAAGTCAGATTGGATTGCTCTTTCTATTCCTATTACCTGTCTGACTCTTATATCTACGCTTTACACTCTCACATCTGTACTGTGGATCAAAACTCTGGAGTTAGGATTAGGACTTGGGACTTGGTACTCTATACTATGCACTCTGAACTCAGGAGTCTGTTCCAGGGCTGTAAAATACTATGAATCTTCCCTCTTGATAGAAAGGGAAGGGAAGGAGAGGAGAGGAGAGGAAGATAAAAAGGTTATAGGGGGGGTTGTAAGGAGATATTTGGGGTTTTATTTGATTTAGGTTTAGGTTTTGAAATTTACAAGGGCGAAAGATGATAGGTAAAAGAAATATCGGAAAAAGAGCCACGGAACAACCTATATTCACTTCCCTCCATTTTACTCTATACAAATCATATAATACACACCTTTCCACTCTTTTCCTCCATTTCATCCACCAATGTACTCAACTGCCCTATCCCTTTGTCCTTCCCTCCCTCCATCCATCCTTCCATCAGAATAGAAGTGCCAGTATCGAAGCTATCTCCGACCACCCATCCATCCAGCGAGCCAACCAGCCATGCTTATTCCTTCCCGAACGCCTAACCCCCATTCTCTCTCTTCTCTTTCCCTCCTAACAGGCCTGACAGAAAGACGGTGGTCTTCTAAGAGGAAGCCAGGAGAAGGAAGAGTTCAATTATAATACCGGAAAAAAAAATCAAAGAAGAAGAAAGATGCCAGAAACCCATGCACATGTAAAGAAAAAAAGAAGAAAGAAAAAACCGCTTGAATCAATCCATCCATCCATCCTCGCGTAGAAGCTTTTGTTGTTTTCGGTACTGTATGCATACAGTCAAAGTCAAGACCAAATGTACCCAGGTACCTAATATGCACAGAGCCCACTAGCTCGCTCACTCACTAAACTCGCTCGATCAATCGCTCTAGTCGTTTCTCATCAACATACTGTGGCAAGCAAAAAACAATCAAAAATGCCACCCAGGGAATAGAAAATGTAAATATCGCAATGCGATGCCATGCAATGCACACTGAAAGGGAAACACGAAACACCCCATTGTAAAGCGAAAGCTTCAATCGAAGCAAAAATAAAGTAAAGTCCTCGCCTAATTTGGAGAACTCAGGGTTTGACTTGACTCCGATTCAGCACGTACCAATCCCGAAGACGTCTTTCCGTTGCTTGTTGGCACCGCCCCAGAAACTTTGGGCGAACCATTGGGTGTATTCTTGGGTGTATTCTTGGAAGAATGAGGCTTGGTGGAAGATGTTCGGTCGGATAGGTTGGTCTTGGTCTTCAACTTTATTATGGGACTTGGAGCGCCGTCTATAAGATCACTCGTGACGGGTGGTAAGTTGGGTTTGACACCTCCTTTACCGTGTAACCATTTCTTTTTTTGAATCCCCATGCCGGTATCCTTTGCCTTTTTGGTTACAGGTTTGATGACCTTCTTCTTGGGCTCTACAACCACGGTACCGTACTCGCCGTCATTCTCATCTTCTTTGCTATCTTCGTCTTCATCATCTGTAGCTGGAGCCTTTTGCTCAAAACTTAGATTTGAACTCGACATTTGAGAAGAGGACTTTGCCATTTTTGGAGCTTTGAGTTTGGTGGCTGCCGTCTTTTTGAGCTTCTTCTTCTTTTGTGGTGATGAGTCGGACTCGAAATCATCACCAGCTTCTCTCTTATTAGGACTACTCTTGCCTTTGTGATTTGTGGTACCTGCCGGTGCTGGGGTTCCAGTTCGGCTACCAGGAGGCGTACCTCCATTTTGGCTACCATTGCCATTGTTTTGCATCTTTAGGAGAGCTTGTCGTGATGAATCTCGACCACCACCTCCAATGCACTTGATCATATGGTTGTTCATTCGCTTGATGGGTAGGAAGGTGCTGCAATGGTGACATTTTGCGTGTGGGAATGAGATTGGCTTTGGTAGGCCGTCTCCTGGAGGTGGTGATGGGTTTGGCGAATCTTGGCTTCCATTTGGTGTACCCTCTGTTGCAGATTGTAATAGTGGGTTGATCATGTCCTTCTTCTTCTTTCCTCGGCCAGGACCTTCCATTTGGAATGTCTGACCATAGATATCATGGTATGGCTTCTCTATGAATGGCTTCTTTTTACAAAACTCCTTGCCGGGTTCCACCTTTCTCGCGCCAACACCATCTGTAGGGTAGAGAAGTCGAGGTAGATGGCATTTTGGACAAATGATTTCGGTGACGGTATCCAATGGGTTCCCTTTCAAATAAACCTTTCCATTCTGGTAGGTTGCCGACTCGGTTTCGGCCTTATGTGGAGGATCGGGAGCTGGGTTGGAATCGTCGGATACAGGTGGTAGTGGCGCGGTTTGAGCAGCTTTTTGCTCGACGAGGATTGCGGCCGTGGCAGCTTTCGCCATCTTGTCTTCGCGATGCGCGGCGAGGACAATGTCATGAATTACATTGTATACGATGTCGTCCAAGATTGAATGGGCCTATTTCAAAAGTTAGCGAGGGTCGCGTTCAACCTCATCCAAACACGGCCGAAAATGAAGCTATTGAAAAAGTGGGAAATCTTACCAAGGCGCCCATGTTATCCGTTGACGCTTCACTGGCGACGAAAATGCCCGTTTGGGGAAAGGTATCGTTGTTGGCCATGTTGGCGATGGGTAGTTGGGTCAAATCGGGGGATGCTGTAGCTGTCTGTACCGCCTTCAGGCTCCAGGCTTCGGCTTCAGGCTTCAGGCTTCGTAGGCGGGTCTCCGATACTCAGCAACCGCCTGTCAACTCGGTAACTGTGCACTCAGCAAGAGGCTGCAAAGTGATGCCAGAAATTCCGGGCAGCCGTACACATGCGACCTCTCTGACCGTCCGACGTTAGAGGTGGTCAGGCACGCCCAGGCTGAGGCTGAAGATATACAGGTACCGAGCACTGTCAATCTCCAAGCGAAGATGGAATTGTGGTGAACAAATGCCCTCACAGCCTACAGCCTACAGCCCACAGCCCTCACTGCCCTGAAACTGGGAACCTTACAGTTACACCCCTTCAAGCTCCCGCCAGAAGCGACAGGGATGTTGTAACACTAGCGCCACTAAAGTCCCCCGACTGCCTATCAACCCACTGAGAGCCGCAGTTGCTATTTAAGGTTCAAGTGGGCCTGAAAGCGGTGACTGCTTTGGGCGAAGTTATAGTGGGTTTGAACCCTGAAAGCTGGAGGGCTGAGGTTGGTGGGAACGGCCCCTGAACACCTCATCATCGAATTTCTACAATTGTATATAGGAGAAGAGAGACTCGTACAAGAAACATCTCAACCACAAACATTTCTTCGCACCCTCCTCCGAGTCCAATTCTGCAGTGTTCAATCCTCAAGATGGACCAACACGGCAATTCCTCAACCCCTCCACAACCTCGGCCACAACCCTCCATCCGATCATTCTTCCAACCCCGATCATCACCAAGTTACACAGCTCCACCGGCACCAGCATCACCTCTTCCAACCTCCGCCCCCAGACCCTCCCCTATACCCACCACAGTATATTCTCCGCCTCCCTCACAAACACCATCACGAACTTCCTATGCGACTACCAAGGTCCCTTCGCATGCTTCCATTGCTCTTATTCAGGAAGAACATATTCAATCCCTCCGCAGAATCAATGCTCTCCTCCTCCCAATTGGGTACCCCGACAGCTTCTATCATACAATCGCCGCTCCAAATCCATTACCTAGTTTCTCCCGCATCATAACATGGACAGAACCTGGTCCACCAACCAAAGAACAGGTGATAGGAGGTGCGGTGTGCCGGCTGGAACCAACCCCCACACCGGAATCGTCACTTTCCAAACCAGAGTTTGTTCCTGGATGTCATGATTTATATATTCAATCACTGGCTTTACTCTCTCCATATCGAGGTCAAGGCTTAGCCGCTGCAGTCCTACAGGATATTATAAAATCTGCCGCTTCTACAAGTATATCAACCAACGGAGTCAAGGTCGTGGAAATCTACGCACATGTATGGACCGAGAACACCGAGGCCTTGGAATGGTACGCGAAACGAGGATTCAAGCGCGAAGAAAACGTCGTACAAGATTACTACCGGAAACTAAAACCACATACCGCCTGGATCCTCCGTCGAAGAATCGTACCTAGCGATCATCTCCAATCCCAATCCTCAACTCCATATACCAGTTCCAGCGGGCCCGCCGTCCCACTAAACACCACCGCTGGCACAGGCTCCCAGACTTCAGCTCCTAAAGAGACAGCTTCCGAGAAGGAAAACCGACCTTCCTTACCAACTCCCACACGCTCATTCCAAGATCGAGGTCCCGAACGCGAATGGAATGATCTTCCTGAAGATGTCCTCGCCGGCTCTCTCCTAAAATCCGCAAGTCACCTGGCTTCCGCGGAGGCTAGTGGAACTAGCTCGAGGAGTAGCTCACGGGGTGCTTCGGGTGGGAAGAAGAAGAGGGTTTACCCTGCTGCTGCTTTTGGCTCTTAGTACGGAAAAAGCATTCATTCTTTTGGATTGATGATACTAAAAGTGCTTTTCATCTTGTTTTTAGACGGTAATTGGCGTTATAATATGGATGGGATAGAGGATATAGTCAAATGACATGGGAATGGTCTAAAAGCTAGGTAACTCTGAAGTTTTATATGAAATTGAATAAATAATTTTCTTCTTTTTCCTTTTTTCATCTTACTACGACATAACCTTATGCAAGGTTCAATATTCCCTTACCTGGGTGGGTGAGGTTGAATCCTGGTTTCTCTTCTCTCTTCTCTCTTTTCTCTTCTCCTAGGAAAGTAGAAGGTAGAACGTCAACGAACTTTCTTTCTTTTTTTCTTCCATACGAGTAAGATTCCTTGTTTTTACTCTCTTGCGGTACTTGTTATTATTGTTCTTTTCTTTGGCATAGATCTTGGGGATTTGTAGGTGTGATATGTACTGCGTAAGTACTATGTACTATATAAATAAGTATGTGTTCGCTGCTTGCGGGGGGTTTCTTTTTCTTTTTCTTTTTGTTTTGGGGAAGGGGGGAAGGGGGGAAGGGGTTTTATGAAGAGTAGAGTAGAGATGAAGAGAGGATGTTATGTAATATTATGTTATGTATTACCTACCTGTTTGCTCTTCGGTATTCCTCCCCTCACCTCATCCTCTCTTTTTTTTTTGTTTTTTTTTGTTGGTGGTGGTGGTGTAATCTTCCCTTCGTACGAGGACTTGGTTATGAACTAGACGACGGATTAGGGTCCGGTTCGTTTCGTCGCTTAGGTAGCTTGGCTTGGTTTGGTTTGTCTCGCGTAGACGAGGGAGGCGGGGGGGAGATTGTTGGATTGTTGGAGGTAGGTGGGTGGGTGGATGGGGTTTTGGGAGGTAGGTTAGGTTGGGTTTGTATTACGCTTTTGACTTTTTTTTCGAGTTGTTTTCTTTTTTCTTTCTTTCTTTTTTTTTGAGATTTTGGTTTGTATGTTGGTTTTTTTTATATTTTTTGATTAGTTAGTTTTTCTATAAATTCATTTTAGGGGTTGATGTATGATGTTTGATGTTTAGATATATCCTCGAGTTTTCGTAATTTGTTAGGGCGAATGGAATGATTTTAGGAAATTCAATACCTAACCCTTGGATACCTTTTATATACTCATATCAGTACGCGAATGTAAAAACATCTATTTTTACGGAAGGTGCGAGATGTAAATGTAAGTCCTAGGTACCTATATATCTAAGTAAGATGAGATTGAAAATTGATGGAGTGGGTATATATATATATATATACATACACGCCATAATCAAAGCAGATTAAATAAAGTAAACTATTCCACCATTGAAAAACATCCTTAGAGTAAGAGAGTCGAAGCCCCCATGCTTCGTTCTTGCGTTTGTGTTTGTCGTCTTGAGAATGGCGGGACGGGATGGTTTGTGGTGGTTTTTTGTGTTGGTTCTTGTGATGGAATGGGATGGGTGTTGGATGTTGATATGTTGAGAAGTGAGTTTGCCGGTATGTTATTTTTTCCAAGAGGGCGAGGGGGTAATCACTCTGGGGTGAAAGAATGGGATGGAGGTAGCTCGTTGAATTATACGAGTGAGGAATGAGCTTAGAAGACACTGACGATGAGGTAGACCTCGATTTCTGTCGATTCGTTAGGATTAACTTCAACATCTTACATGAAATATCAAACATCACACCCAAAAAGGAACCCAGAAAAGTAGCTCATTAAAAAACCAAAGAGAGAGAAAAGAAAAGAGAAAGAAAAAAAACTCACGCGGCTGCTTCCCATCCACCCTCCCCCAATGAACCCTCTGCTTAACCTCATGTCCCGGATTCTCCTCCCGCGCAACCCTCCAACCCCCCCTCTTCCCATCCCCCCACTCAAGCCCCAACCTCACAACGCCATCCACACATCTACTCCTCACCTCCCACTTCCCCTCATCCCTCCTCAGCGTCGGCAGCGCCGGACACGCAGGTATGGCACTCTCCCCAAACCAATGCTCGGCCACAACATCGCACCACATATTATCCATCACCAACGTGCCGTTTGACAATAAATTGAAGGCGGCTTGTTTCGTGTAGGAATACTCCCAGGGATTGGCGATGTAGTCGAGGGGTGCGTCGAGCGGGTTGAGGATCTTCTCGGAGCCGATGAAGACGTGGGTGTGGAAGAGGTCTTTGTTGGAGGACGAGGCGGGCAGGACTTCGATGGCGAAGGAGAGTTCCGGGGAGAGGGGGTAGATTGAGGACTTGAATTTGGGGTCGCAGGTTGAGCCGGCTTTGGCGATTTCGGCGCGTTTGGTATTGGTGGTACTGGAGGGGTGGGCGGGGATGGTGGGGAGGAGGGAGATGGTGAGGGTGAGGAGGGTGGGGAGATGCATTTTTGTTTTTATGGATTGGGTTGTTGGTGTAATATTGTTGAATTGTGTTTGGAACGACGGTGGAATAACTGATTGTTTGAGGGAAGAAAATAAGATGGGAATGAACTCGCAAAGAAAGTCTTTCTCTTGAAGAGAAGAGGGAATGAGTGGATTGAATACTAGATGTAGAGCCTCCTTTTAGTATCTACTTACTTAGCCCTCCCATCCTACGCTTATACAACCCTCCAAAAAAACCGCCTTTGTCTAAGAAAGATAGTACACTCCCCTATACCATTTCCGTCCTAGTCCCAGCCCTATCATTTTTCCAACCTACTCGTGCGGAATGGCAGGGGGAAGAAATGCGATGTGTTATTGAAGTTGTGGTCATGGAAGTGTGGCATTCAGTCGAACTAGCTAGGAAAGAGAGTTCAGAGACTCGAGGTACTAAATACAGTTAGATCCTACCGCTTGAGCCCCTTGGCCGCTAGCGCCTGCTAGCGCATTCACTATGTGAGCTCACTTCTCAACATGTGTATTATTTATGTACGCGAGGAATTGGAAGAAAACATCAAAACATTTCGCTTAAATCAAAATCTCCGAAAAATCTAAACCCACCATAGTTATCGGAGAAATCGATATAAAAAGAGTCGTAGCTTTGAAAAAGGAATAAAAGGGAGAAAAATCTCGCTCCAAGATAGTAGATCCTGACGTAACTACCTACCTAGTATGAAAAAATTCGTACCAAATCTAAAATATCCCGACTAAATCCACAAGCTCCAGTCTAAGGTAGCGTGAGTTCGTCGGCAAAGCCGTTGATTCTAATTTGTGAAAAAAGAAAAAAAGAAAAAGTAACAAGTCTTTGCTTGGTTTGCTCCGTGGAGTTGGAAATGCTACAGTAGGTCAAGAAAACACTTCTGTCTTTACTAGTATGTATTTTGCTATGTTGCGAACATACTAGGAATCTACGCTTCGCTTCTAGAGCACTGTATGCATAAAACCAGAGAGAGAACAAACTATGTATGTATGTATATAAATGCGAGAACCAAAAAAAAAAAACTTTCAGACCCAAAGGAGAATAAGTGAAATGGGCATTTAGATAATAAAAAGCAAGAGCAAAGATATAACACCATAACACAGGCACTAACCTCCCAATTTCCAACCATGAAATGGCTAAATTGATATATCAATATCTCGCTAACAGCATCCTCTGGTCGTTAAAAAGGGACTTAAATCAATGAAAACATTCACACTAATAAATGAAGAAAAAAAGAAAAGAAATCACATGGAAAAAAACCCGCCTAAATAACACACAAGGGTATTATACGCTCTCTTTCCAATTTCCAACGAAACCCCAAAAAAACACTATGCAAAACGTAAAGTAAGAGTACCTAATAATACAGCTCCCTAATAACCTCCACAATAACCGCATGATCCTCATGCTGCTTCAGCCCACTAACAACCACAACCGCCACCACCCCCTCCACACCGGAGACGCGAATCGGCACACCACCGCCATGAATCGCATATTCCCCTGCGCTATTCCCCAGTCCATATTTTTCTTTGAAGGCGGTCTCATCGCCGTTGAACTTGCACGACATGTACCAAGTGCTGGTGCCCCATCGCAGGACCGTCTTGCGCTTCCGCGCTACCCAGTTGTCGTTGTCGGGCATGATTCCTGTGTGGGTGCAGGTGTGGAAGAGGACTTGGTTTTGGTTGGCGAGCGCGATGTTGATTACCACGGGTGTGGGGACGGGCATGAGACGGGTGCGGAGGGCGGAACCGAGTTCCCAGGCGTCTTCGGTGGTGAAGTGTTCGAAGCAGAGGGAGTCGTCGATGCGTTGGATTTCTTCGAGCTGGGGGCGGGGTTAGTTTGGGATTGGTGGAGTGAGGAGTTGGAGGAGGAGTATTTGGTAGGGAATTCTTTGGAGGGAGGAATAGGAAATACTTACATCTGTTGGTGGAGGCTCGATCAGTCGAGGGGTAATAGGACTTCTTCTTCCTGAAGTGCTCGACATTTTGTGGCGGGGTAAGTAATAAGGAGGATATCCGGATTCTGGTGTTCGAAGGTCCGGGTACTCGTAGTCAAGCCAACGGGTTCTCTTCTCGGTTCTTCTTCCCGTGGATCCCGATCGTGAGATGGTTATCGCTGGTGGTCTTGGAGATTCCGAAGGGATCCGTGATTTCGAAGATCTTGAAGATCTGGGAGGTCGTGGTGTTCGTGGAGGACTGGGTGGAGGACTTGGTGGGCGTAGCGGGGGAGACTGGATATTATCATCCCACCTTAGAACCTCCTCAGCCGATTCCTCCAAGTGGGGGGTCCCAGTAGTACTGGCAAGACTTGATTTTTCCAGAATCACCGACAACTGATCCAGACGTGCCCACTCAAAGTTGGCGCTGTTCCTCTTGCGCAGGTTCGAGGTGCCCGGGAAGGTCTCACGTTCGTCGTCGCGACTAACAGGGAAACCGAAACTGTCGATCTCTGTCGTTGTGGCCAAGAGCATGGGCTGTGCCACATCATTCGTCGACGTCGAGGACTTGGGCCTCTTCGTTTGTGACTTTGATTTCGATTTGGATTTCCTTTTCAGCTTCGGTGGATTGGGGTCATCGTATTTGGTGTAGCCGTGTCCGGATTTGGGCTGTCGTCGCAAACCACACAGTGTCGTCGACATCACACATCTTCTTTTTTCCCAAGATGACACTTTTCAAGGAGTCAAAAAGGAGATGGTAAGATGATTTTGGTCCACTTTCCATTATATTGAAGCAAACAAGAAATTATTTTGGTCTTGTTGCACTGCGCCAGAGATGAGCAGTTCATCATGCCATGGGGAGGGAGCGGGAGTCTTCCTTGGAGACTTGGTCTCAGGTCCCGATGGATTGACAAGCGCCTCGATCATCCTTGATGACATCAGACAAGAGATTGAGTGCTCCATTTGAGATATAGGGGACCACCAAGATGAGGACTCGGAAATTCAGTGACGTTGCCGTGATGATACTCTTCAAACTGCAAATGTCAACATTGCCAATTGTGGACATCAAAAGCCACGAAACATCTCCAAATCCACCCATCTGGATTTACACTCTTCACCGAGTCACCATCCAGAAAATCTCAGATTAGAAACAAAGTATGACCGGTTGTCTCTATCACTAGATAGATACGAGTGCTCGTCTTGGTGTAGTTGACGTAGACTTTGACGGCGGGAGAACGCGGCTGTAAAAATCAATTTGAGCCTCGGAATCGCATATAGAAAAGTCAGCTAAAGTGGAAGAAATATATTCTTCTCTCCACGTAATGTACAAGTACCTATGTGTGATACTCCTACCAGTAATCATGACGAGATTGTTTCGCTTCTTTGCTGGGCGTGCTGGATACCGTAGCAAGGAGATGGGTTCATCGGATGATGTGTGTAGAGCACATGGTATATATTTTCGAACAGCCGATGGAAGAATATCATGTGGCGGGAGGAACGAGGATCCAGAGATTGACATGTGGATGGCCTTCCATGAATTGCATGGAACTGCCGCTAAGCTATTTATACTGTACTGGAAAATAGAGATTGGCATGTGGATGACCTTTCATAAATTACATGGAACTGCCACTAAGCTATTTATACTGCACTGAAAAATAGAGATTGACTCGTCGGGTGAAAGTTCTCGAGATGCGCATTGCAGGGTCCCGGCATCCTGGAGTGCTGATCTCGGATAGAGTCTCGAGAGTCTAATAAAGTTGTGGGGAATAGAGTAGCGACAACCACAAGCGTCTTGCAACGCTCTCAAACAGACTAGAAACGAAGATATAAAAATACAAAGTACGTGAGAAGAGACGAATACACCGACAGATCCAGGCACTTGACTCGGATTCTCTATCACATGTCAGTTGGCAGCGGTGAGAGAGCGGGAGGATGCGAGGATGAGAATGTTGATGTCGCAATCGAGATCCTCGCAGGGTATGCAGGCGCGGTTGTCCCCCCGCATAAAGGAACTTTCTCACTTCACACACCATAAATCTTAGCCACCACCCTTCACTCACAGTGAAGAGTTGACACTCCCCTAACACTCATCCGCCACAGGCGCAGATATCCAGACATACACCTCCATCACCTCCATCACCAGCAACCATGTTCTGACAACACAGATTCCCTCGACCCTCCGACTCCTCTTCCCTGTCTACCCCGCGTTGAACTGTCTGACAAAGTGTCACCATCATGGACCCCGCCATCCTCCACGAACTCAGTGTCGACAACGACACCATACCCTTCCGATACGTTACCAGCCACACGCATTCAACATGGGCGCGCACTTTTCATAGTCACCCCGAGTTATACATCCAACCCGAGTCCCTGGCGGAAATCGAGAAAGCGATCAACCTTGCGCGACGCTGTAGAAGACGAATCACTACTGCAGGATGTGGTCACTCTCCAAATTCCATGACGAGTACCTCCTCGTGGCTCGTCAATTTGGACAACTATAACAAGATATTGGCTATCGATAGGGAAAGTTGTGTAGTGCGCATGCAAAGTGGCATTCGTCTGTTTCAGGTGGGAGCTGAGTTGGACAAGGTTGGGTTGGCCATGCCGAATTTGGGCAGTATCAATGAGCAAAGTATTGCAGGAGCTATCAGCACCGGTACCCACGGCAGCACATTACGCCATGGAATTCTCTCTAGCAGTGTCATCAGTTTGAAGATTACTCTTGCGAATGGGAAAACCGAGATTTGTTCCAAGGGCCAGAATGAAGAGCTGTTCCGTGCTGCTCTGGTTAGTTTGGGAGCCTTGGGTATTGTGAGTGAAATCACTTTTCAGGCTGTACCAACTTTCGCTTTGGCATGGAAACTAGTCATAAATACGGATAGTTCCATGCTCGAGGCATGGAAGAAACAACTCTGGAAACAGAGCGAGTTTGTACGAGTCTGGTGGTTCCCATATACAAGAAGAGCTGTGGTCTGGACCGCAGATAAAACAGAGGAAGAGGCTCGTCCACCACCAAAGAGTTACTATGATGCATGGCTAGGCTACCATGTCTACCATAATCTCCTTTACGTCTCACAATACTTTCCTAAAATGCTACCGTGGATCGAGTGGTTCGTTTTCGGTATGCAATACGGATTTGCCAATGGATCAACCACATCCGCAATCCAACCCTCCCGAAAAGCCCTCCTCATGAACTGTCTCTACAGTCAAACCGTCAACGAATGGGCAATTCCTCTCCACAAAGGACCTGAAGCTATTCGTCGTCTCAGCTCCTGGCTTAATCACCTTACCCCCCAAGACCCAGATTACGTTCCTCACAATATCCCCTTCAGCGCAGAAGGTCTCTACATCCACGCACCCCTAGAAGTCCGCGCGACAGATACCTCCAACTCTCTCACCCCTCGTCCTCACCTCGATCCTACCTGTACCGATGAACCTACTCTCTACATTAACGCTACCCTTTACCGTCCGTATAACCAGGACCCCGCATGCAGATTTCGATACTACCAAGCCTTCGAATATCTCATGAAAGAACTCGGTGGCCGTCCGCATTGGGCGAAGAACTTCGAGGTGGGGGCTAAAGAGATTGAGGGGATGTATGGGAAGAGATTGGCGGAGTGGAGAGGGATTCGAAATGCGGTTGATCCTGAGGGTATGTTTGTGGGTGAGTGGCATCGACGTACTATTTTGGGTGATGGGCCACGGTTGGCGCTTGAGGAGGTGGAGGTTAGGAGGGAAAGGTATCCTGGGGGTGGACTGTTTGTTGCGGGTGTTGTGGCGTGGGAGATGGAGGCGGGCATGGGGAGTGGCAGTGTTAGTGGCAGTACCGAGAGCTATGATGAGTTGAGAGCTAGTGAGATTACTGTTAGAGACTCTTAGAATTTGATCACACGCAGGTTTTCTTGTGACTTTGTCCTGGGAGAGGGGGATTGGGTAGTTGGGATTAGTAGATTCTATCGTGTCTCGAGCTCTTCTTCTTCTTCGTCTTCTTTCTCTTGTATTTCCTTCTTCATGCCATGTATGTACGGGGTTATCTAAAAGTATATATATTCTTACAAATTACTACTATACCACTACAACGACCCTTTTCTACAATATCTCTTTCGTTCCAGATTCTAAGTATATAGTAGGTATAGAGTACTCGTATCTCCTTCTCTCCTTCTCTCCTTCTCTCCTTCTCTCCTTCTCTCCTCGATCCCAATATTCTAGCTAGAACCATATATAAATACTATCTAATCTACCTATGTACACGTATACTCTACCTACCTATGTACACGTATAATCTACACTAGGTAGGTAAGGTATAATATGTATGTATATCAATTAGTAGGTTTTCTAGGCTTATATAGAGTATGAAATAAGTATAGTAGATTAGAGTAGATTAGAGTAGTTAAGGGTTTTAGTATATATATATAAAGGATAGAGAGGGGTACTATAGAGGGGTGTTTGTAGAGGGGTGATTGTAGATAGATAGATAGAAGTTTAGCTAGAAGTGATTTTATAGTAGAAGTGATTTTATAGTAGAAGGGTTAGAGGGAAGATAGGAGGGAAGTGTCACGAATCACGTGTTCACGTGATACTTGTCATAATAAGAGGCGCAACCCTCGACAGGCACATTCAGATTTCTTATAGCAAATGGGGATCGCTTAGGGTAGCTAGGCGATCCAAGGATTTCTTCCTTACAGAAGATCATGTGACTAGGGAGTATGAGGAAGTATAAGGGAGGCTTATACTACTCTATACTACCGGAGTATAAGGAAGTATAAGGAAGGCTTATACTACTCTATACTCGGACCATACGCGGGGTATGAAGGTTCTATATAAGACTGGCACGTCTGCCATTAGATAGGAGCTTCGTGCTCAACTTAGTTATCAATCTTATCATATTAGTTTGACATCTTTGATCCAAGTAACGAGTTCACTTCCAAGTGAACAACCCGATAGTCTTCTTCTTATCATAGCATACCAACCAGCGAACACCCAGCCAAGTTTAGTTAGCCAGTTTGAGTATTCGTTACAGGAAGAGAGGATAAGGAGTAAGGAAAAAGAAAAGGGAATTTCGAATACTTAAGATTAGGGTTTAGCTATTTAGCTAGTTAGTTATTTAGTAGATCCTTTTAGATAGAGTAGTAAAGTAGTAGGGAAAGTATGGAAATAGGATCTAGGTAGATACTATTTCTTATATAAAGTTGTAAGTATGTTGGTATATTCTTTTATACCTAAGTACCTACCTCTTTTTACAATAGTGCTATACTTGTATTATATATTTAATATAGGAACATTATAAGCTATTAAAGCTTATTTCTATAGTATCTAGCTTATATAATCTTATCATAATAAGGAGATTATAATATCTCCTCTTTACTCTACCCTAGTATATTAATATTATAGTACGTAGGTAGGTAGACTGTAAAGAAGCTACGAGTAGTAAAACTAAGATAAGAAAGTCTAATAACGAGAAGTTCCTGCTTATTATAATTTTCTATATATAAGAAGAGGAATTCTAGCGAGTAGAAACCTCTAGTTTACAAAGGGGGGATGGATAGTTAAAGTTAGATACTATCGCTAATCTTAGTATATCTCGGCCTCGATTTTTAGCTAAACCAGCGAATGAAAGACTTATATCTAGTCGATATAGACTTCTTTCATAAACGATCTATATAATAGTATCTAGTATTAACTTTCTACACCCTTTACTATACTATACTCTTCCGTATATCCACTCCCCCGCTCAAGGTCGTTTTACCACGGTACTTGTACTTCTCTATAGAAAGAAACCTAAAAACCTAAAAAATAAACTTTGAAAAAGAGACCCACAGAGTTTCTAACTTTTCTTACTTTTCTCCGGTACCTTGATGGGTTTTTTGACAAGACAAGACAAAACGAGATGAGATGATGTGAAACGGGGTTTCGCGAAGGGGCTTTTGTGGGTGGTCTTCTCTTGGTGTTTTTTTGGTCTTGTGGTTTTGGTGAGTTGATGGGTTTTCGCCGCATGGTGCGAGGTGCAACAAAGAGCTTTTTTTGTTTCTGTTTTGAGGAGTGGAGGGGGAGGGTTCGTTTCGTTTTTGCGGATTTTGTTTGGTTTGGTTTTGAGGGGTGGAGAGGGTCTGGAGAGGGGGAGAGGGGAGAGATGGGTTGGTGGATGGGTGGGTGATGGGAAGTGTAGGTTATGGGTAAGATCTTTGTAGATAGACATGTTAATAACGTTAAGGTAAGTTAAGGTAAGATAAGGTCCGCTTAGTTAGGTTAAACTTACTATGAAAAGTTTCTCTATAGTACAGTATGATAGCTTCGTAAAGTAAAATAAGCACCTAAATTAAAATCCATCAACCCCAACCCCAAAACCTCCAACAATAACTCCTATACATACATACATAAAAACCTCTTCAACCACCTCCCTCCTTCCTCCAAGTAAACAGAAGAAACACATTTTTCGCCGCCTCAATCGCGACATGCAACGAACCCTCAATTCCGTCTCGTTTCATTTCCTTACCCCGGATTTTCCTCTCCTGCTTGTCCACTTTGCTTTGCTTGCTCAGACCTACTCTGCTGCTTGTGATCAAACATCCGTCTCCACTCCTCTCCCCTTTTACATTGACAAGATTCCAAGACACCCCTATTTTTACTTGGTAGCAAGCAGTATGGACAGAGCAGAGGGGAGGCCTCAGGTCTCCGTGCATGAGGGGTGCGATGTGCAACGAAATCTTATCGAGCGTAAGGAAAGAGGAGGGAAATTGGTGTGAAGAAAAGCTGGGCTGGGTTAGGGAGGTGGTGGGTAGGGATGATAGTAGGGATTCTAGGGTACACCGTGGGGATGAGGAAATGATGTCTCGGACTGAGTCGTGGGTTGTGAAATTATTGTGAGATGACGCGAGTAAAACAGCAGGGGGGGTTATTGGGATCTTGT